AAAAGCAATTGAAAGCATCTGTTCCTCTTTTGCACTTTTGTTTGATTGTTTAGGACTCAGACCGGCGCCCACCGTTCACCAGGTCGCACAAGATTCAGAGGTGCGGTGGTAAATTCCATCTTCTCATCGGGGTAACTGGAAGTGTAGCAGTCATAAAGCTTGAGGAGTTGATCCAAAAGTTATATCATAGCTGTCCTGAAAACAAACTTGTCATAAAGGTTTGCACATCCATGTCGAAAAAAAATCGCCTTTGATAATGCAAACATTCTCAGGTGGCTGCCACTCAGTCAGCCTTGAGCCTTATCGAGACCCAAGACTTTGATATAGATGAAGTTATTTACGAAGACAGGGACGAATGGTCTATGTGGAGAGGTCGAGGAGACTTGGTGCTTCATATTGGTATGGCTCATGAAGAAGTCTAGTTTTATTAAATCTGATGTTATGTTTAATATTTAGAGTTGCGGAAATGGGCAGATGCTATGCTGCTTGCACCTTTGGACGCCAACAGTCTTGCGAAAATTGCTATGGGACTTAACGATAATCTGGTCACTTCCATAGTATGTGCTCTTTTGCTTCATTTCAAATTTCTCTTGAAAAGTTGTGATAAAAAAGTAAGCGACCAATTTGAATTTGCAAAAATCTAAAATATTTCTTAGATGATACTGAGCTATGGTGAATATTAATTGAAAATGTGTTTCAGCTATTCATTGACCTTTGAACTTTTATAGGTACGGGCATGGGATCCTCGAAAGCCGCTATACTTTGCTCCGGCTATGAATACTATGATGTGGGAAAATCCGCTTACCTTTCAACACAGAAACACATTGAAAGACCTTTTACAATACAAGGTTCGTTGGGTTTTGCCTCAAATTCCTAAGCTTTGGTATCTAGTCTTTAACTTCATTTAGTGGGCAGTTTAACCGTTTATGTATGCTTTTGAGAGGAGTAGGATTACTCTCGATTTAACTGTAGTCATTCTGACTTTAAAATTGGAAGTTGTCAGACTTCTTTTGCTGCTCTTGGCACTCTCAAGCGATGAGCATTCTTCGTATTTCATCTTAAAAGTCACTGATAGAGGGGAAATCTACCATAATCATCCCCTTCCTTGTGTCTGTCGTGTGCGAAATTCCTATTTAGGAAATCCCTCCAATGGAAAAGGAATTGATGTGTGGTGACACAGGAG